ATCCTTGTTTGAAGAATATAACTTCTGAGAGTTACTTTTATATGAGACAAAATAATAATTGATACGTAGAAAATGTCAATAAAACCATCATATTAAATAATATAATTATAATTTATTTGTTTTAATCAAATAAACATGCAATTTAAATCAAGTTATTTTAATTTGAGTTAAAAGAATATTAATTATTATTATTATAATAAAAACTAACTAGAAAGTAAATATATGCAATTTGACTAACCAAGATTGATCACCTCCAGTAGGTATCCAACGAGGAATATTAGTTATTCCATCTTTTTTTAGTTCATCAACATAAAATTCTATTATTTCTTTTCCCTTAGAAATATTCTGAATGTATTGTTTCATACCAAGTTTTTCCATGGTTGACTCAAAACCCAAAAAATATTTTATATCTAATAATGCACTTTGTTCATAACACGTCCATTCTGAGTTTTCTGGATGAACCTGATAAAAACAGGAATAAAATAAAGCATATTCTATTTAGAACTATTAAATATCACTACATATAAATTTAACATTTTAATTTTAATTTATGCATCTTTAAAAAAATAAAATAAAAAATATGATTTTACAGGTATCAAAACTAAATAAAATCTCAATTTTTTCATTTATAAACATTGTAATTGCAACCAAACTTAAAAATTTTCAAAAACCAATCATGAAAATCAAAATCTATGCTAAAATTTTCATGAACCATTCACAAGACTCATAAAAATAAAAAAAATAAAAATATTTTGAAATAGTTAAAATGTTAAAATTCTAATAATTTAAATTTTTAATACTAACATTAAAAAGATAAAAGTATTAAAAAATAATTTAATAATTTTTAAACCAAATACACAAACTCACATATCAGTTATTAAGATTTGTAACTACCAAAGTTATACATATTATATTATTTTATATTTTAAGCCAATCTAATGATTTATATTTTTACTAGTTTATTTGATAACTTTTTTAATGAATACTTTTTATGACTCTATTTATAAAAAAATAAATAAATAAGCTAACAAATATTATATTTAACAATATAATAATATTGTGCATATTTAACACAATGTGATATTATTTATAGTACATACACTACCAGAAAATCATAGGAATGCTTGAGCAAAACGTAAACTGCTCACATTATTAGGTAAAATATTATTTTTCGGCTTTCGCCCAAACAAATCTATGTAAGTTATGAACAACCTCATTTGGAAAAAAATTGTAGTATCTTAAATACTAACATTGAAAATAAATATTATTGTTCATGTATAATTAATAAAAAATAATAATAAAAATACATTTTTGAGGTATTATTAATTATAATAGATATAGTTCATTTGCTGCAATTACCAAAAAACTTATCAAAATTACTACAAAAAAATAGCAATTTATTAAGGTGTATTCTGCATATTTATAATATAAAAATAGATAAGATACAATAACAATGATAAATTGACTATGCCTGATTAATAATCATAATAAAATCTTACAATAAAAGTCTTTATGGTTTTACCAAAATTAAGTTTGTCAGGAAAAAAAGTCAAAATATGACACTTTTCACAAGTATTATGAGTAGTTTGCGTTTTGTCTGGTTTAAACTTTTTTTTAGTAACATATACTGTATAAGTTTATTTAGAATACAAGTTTTTAGTAATTTTATTAACATAAAATGAACAATTCAGTAGTTAGTTATCATTAATACTATTAATAATGATTATTGATTAGAATAACTCATAAATATTTACATTTATCAAGCATTTAAAATTGAAACAATTTAAACTTCGTACTGATAAAAAATAATTTGAACACCTAAAAATTATTTCAAAACATATATAACTTATAAGGCATTTTAGTTTTTGACATCGCATACTTTCATTGATATTAGGTAATCCACATGACGACTACACCTGATATTTTTAAAATACTTACAATTTACACCTAGTGTGACAAAAATAACAATATGGCTTTTTGATATATTACCACCATAAATTAGTTTATATTAATTTCGATACTTTTAAGTAATAAGATATGAATTTAATTAAGTTATATCATGAATTAAATACCGATATATTGTAAAATATGTAAAATTTAAATATTTTATTTTTTATTGTTTATTCTTATTATTATCATTATATATTTTTTATACTTAACATAATATTAACAAATTCAGTGTCAATTGTTCTTTATTTAAAAAAAAATCCAATATGTGAGCAGACAGGTAGCCAGAATTATATTTCATTTATTATTTTTTTATATAATTGATAAATAAAAACGTTTATTTTTAATTTTTAAAAATTTCAAAGGTATTCATGACCCCTCCCTTCTTCTGAGGTGTCAAATATTCTAAATTTATCAGTTAAGAAACTTTAAAATTAATATAGAAATTTAAGATTTTATTTAAAATATGGAACTTCAAAAGTCTAGGAGTTAGGATTTCAATTAACTTGTTGCCACGACTAGTAATGGACATAATAAATTTAAATGATTAAAAATGAAAATTATATCATATTTAAAACATTAGAAACAAATTTCAAGGATTTTAAATTTGTTACAAAAAATTATTAATTTTTGAATTTTAAAATAAATAAATACATTTTGTTAAAAACTGGAATAAGCTAAATAATTTTTTTGTAATTTTTAACGATTAATTTAGTAAAGTACTAATTTTTTTTGATTTTTCATTCTAAAATACAAAATAAATTTTCTACTAATTACCTAATATCTCAATATAAAAGAATAAATAATTTTATCAGACCTAAAAAAAATAATTGTTAAACTAATAGTTATTGTTCTGCACAAAAGCTAACAATCTAAAATTAATTCAAAGACCATACAAAATATGTGTTTTGATTAGGTAATATTTTTTATTGATTTAACCTACACAGCATTCTCAATGTTAAATCTATTAATTTTAAATGATTGCTTCAATTTGTTACTTAAAAATGATGTATGAATAATCAATATGCTAATAATAATATTGAATATTGATAGATTTGACTTACATAGTAACGACATTTTTCTAATACATTTACACGAGTTGAAAATGTCTCATTTGTTGCTTCAATATTTAAGCAACGTTCTCTCAAATCTAGTACATTTTTTTGAATAAAATATACATAATCTACACCGATAATCTAAAAAATAAATGTTATTACATGTACATGAATATTAATTAACATATTTAAAGTACAGAAAACCTTTTTTAGCAAATATGGAGCTTCCACAACAAGTTTACATCTTCTTTCAGTGGTTCTAATCGAACCATCATTTGTTGTACTGTCGGCTGTTACTTCACTCCCAACGAAGACCGGTATTAACGGAGATGTCGGAAATCGTCTTTCATAAGCCTACATCAAAAATAAATTGAAACTCAATGATTTTCAACAACAAAATTACAATTTATATATTAGAATATATTTTAATTTATAATTCTTGTGTACTGACTGCAATACACTGTTGTACTTACAGCCATTACGATTTCAAATGGATATTTGTAAACTCGCACCGGCGATTGGTATTCTTGAACCATTTTAGCGAGGAATAAAAATCAAAAAAACAAAAAAAGAGTAAAATCAAACAATAAAAACGAACTCTAAGCTAATTGATTATCCATTAAAATTTTGATCAGTAAGTAATTAAATTATTCAAACACTATGGTTTATTTTATCACTAATCATAATCAATACTATGACGTAACCGATATGTTTAATCTATTTTATGAAGGAGGATCAGCTGTTGATAACGCATTAGTATACCAAGGTACAAAGGCCACCGGCATTCAGTGCCTTTTTCGCCGTTTCAGTGCGTCTGAGTCTGAGTGTATGAAATAAACTATGGTCTATGTACTATGTCACTATGACTTTAATAGACGTGATGAAATTATATTAATTAGCTATTATGACTCACGAGCAGTCAACTAAATTTGATTGAACAATAATAATTATTGTAATAGCTTCAAAAGAGAGAAAACAAAAAGTTTATTAATCTGTTAATGGAAAAACATAAAATACTTTTGATATTTAACAGCGAGTCTAGATAACCCATGATCAATTTGTCAGCATACTCCGTTTAAGTGTTCTCTCAAAGCTTAAACAATGCTATCTTCTACAGTTCTACGGATATAAAATATTAAAATATAATAGTGGCCTCGGCGCGACTACTTATAAATGATAGATAAATAATTAACATATTGAGAAGCGATCAGTGGGAACTTACATAATAATTTAACAAAAAATTAACAATATCTATTAGCCATTAGAAATTGTTTATCAATATGAAATAATATGGTTATTAGTTAACCAAAATTAATGCACAGATGTATTGATAGTCAAACATTATTCATAGTCAAAGCTGTGTAACTTAAAAGTTCAAGAAAACGATAAAAATAATCAAATATTTTTTCTTTGGGTTTAAGATTGTTACAAAATTTGTCAACAGTAGATTAAATAGTTGATTAAGTATCTAAGAACATTAAGCAATGAACTCATTGTTGTTCTTTAGTAATATTTGTGAATATATTTTAATTTTTTTTCAATAAATTGTAAAAATATTAAAATTTTTTAAACAATTATTTAACTATTTCAAAAATAATTTTATAAGGTGGGTTAAGCTGCTTACTTACACAACATTATTTAGGATAATAATCATTTAGTATCTAAATACCCACTGGCCACCAATGACCAGAATGCAATATATGTTCAATAACTATTTTCATAATTTTAAAGCAAATAAATTAGATTCTTTCATTGTATATCTACATAGATTGCAGAGATGAAATTGAATGATTAACCTAAGCTTAAACACTAAATTAGCAATTATATTTTATAAAACATTAAACCACTTATAAATATTATTATATTTTTATTAATTATTTAATTCATGTTTACATTTTTTTATATTTTACATAATATTATAATAATTAACGATTACACATAATCAAGAATTAAGATAAATCATTAAAATTTCAATTAAATTCCAGGTAATAAGTGTTCATTTAAAATATCAAAAAGTACCAATTTCAACACTTTATTATAATGTGTAAATATTAATTTTGTAATATTTTTTATTTCCTAAAAGAGGACATAAAAGAATTATCATTAGCAGCTGTTAAAAAACGAGAATGTTCTTCATTCACTTCGGAAACCATGGAACTTAGATTTTCTGCATTATGCTCAATGTACTGTAATGCTGTCATATGGCAGTTTAATATTCGACAAATAGTATCCAGCTGAAACAATAATTAAATCAATTGTTATAAAAATATACTTGAAATGTAAATGTTTTAATTATATTTTAAATTATACTTACATCATCATCAGAATCTTTCTTTGAATTGGCTTTATTTAAATTATTTACTATTTCTTTAATATCTCCTGACATTTGTTTTACTTGGTTATCGATTTCTTGAGCAGCTTTATATCTATACAAAATATTATTAGATTAAAAATAAATAAAATAAAATACCAATAGTTTTAAATAACATACATTGGTTCTCTTTCGTTGTTCAAGCTACTTAATACTTCAGCAGATTGTAATTCTTGTTCCAGTGGAACTAAACAATCTTCAAGTTCTTTTTGTTGGGATAACAAGAAGTCTAGTTCATTTTCAATATCTACTTGTTCTTTTTCTTTTTGCTCCAGAATATCGTACAGTTTTACCAACTAGAAATTATTTTTTGTGATCAATTAATATTTGTAATTAAATAATTCATACAAATTACTTTAGTAGATTGGTTTGTTAACATATTATCCCAAACAGTTATTTCATTTGCTTGGTTAAGAAATTGTTTTTCTTGATTTTCTAAACTGACAGTCCAGTTGTTAATTAAATCAATAAGCTGTTGGAAATTAGTCGGTTGAACTGTACTGGATTGGCTATCTGATCTGTAACAGAAATAAATTATGTTATTATCGGCGTAAATTAAATATTGAATTTTACACATACTGAGATGTAGCAGGTGGAGCTTGTGTAGTAATTGCTGCAGTAGTTTGTATTGAACTAGCTTGGGCTGTGGTTGTTGCAGAAGAACTTAATGAAAATCCAGTAGTGCTTGCTGTGCCTAATGAAAAACTAGTAGAAACTGCTGGAGTTGTACCTAAAGAGAAACCTGTTGATGCTTTAGTTGTAGCTAACGAGAAACCAGTAGATGCTTGAGTTGTGGCCAATGAGAAACCAGTAGATGCTTGAGTAGTACCAGCTAATGAGAAACCGGTAGAAACTGCTGGAGTTGTACCCAAAGAAAAACCACCAGTAGATGCTGGAGTAGCGCCCAATGAGAAACCAGTAGTTGCTGGAGTAGTGCCCAATGAGAAACCAGTAGATGCCGAAGTTGTGGTCAATGGTAAAGCAGTGGATGCTTGAGTTGTGGCTAATGAGAAACCAGTAGATGCTTGAGTAGTACCAGCTAATGAGAAACCAGTTGAAACAGTTGAAGTCGCGCCCAAAGAAAAACCAGTTGATGTTTGAGTTGTGCCCAACGAGAAAGCATTAGATGCTTGAGTTGTACCTAAAGAGAATCCAGTAGATGCTGGAGTTGTGCCTAGTGAGAAACCAGTAGCTGGTTGGTTTGTAGCACCCAATGAGAAACCAGTTGATGCTTGTGTAGTACCACCTAATGAAAATCCAGTTGATGCTTGTGTAGTACCACCCAATGAGAAACCAGTAGAGGCTGGTTGGGTATTATTTCCTAAGGAGAAACCAGCTGAAGGTTGAGTTGAACCCCCCTAAACAATAAAATGATTAGGTAAGTTGTGATCATTAAAAAATGTATAAATGCTTGAAATATAATATTAATATTAATAACTGAAGTTTTCACATAATCATAAACTCAATAATTGCTCAAGTATTATCATTTATCAAAAACCTATTATTCTTAGTACACAAAGTCAAAAACTACTAGTTAGAGATTTTGATTTAGATACATTAAATTTAAAAAAAAGATGATTTTTATTTGATAAAAAAGCTAGTATCCCCCACAAGACATTCTAACAATGGTACAAACAAAAATTAACAATTTAATATATAGTTCTCAAATATACTTGAAAATTCAAAAAATTAGGATTTAAATAAATTCTATTGGCACCAACGTATAGTACACCTGTAATAAAAAAACCGGTTCTAACCCGATACTTGAATTTTAGCATACAGTTTTGAGCAGAGCTTTAAATTTACAACAGATCACTAAATATCAGTAATTCATAAACTATTTTAGCAATATACACTTTTATAAAAACATAATAATTAATGTACAATAATAAAAAAATAGAGAGTAATACTCAGTTGTATATGGATAAAAAAAAAAAAAAAAAAGAGAGTAAATTATTTAAAGTTGTTAAATAAAATTGAAAATAAGGTATGTTTAAGTATTTCTAATTCAAATTCTGGTTGATGGATTAAAAATGAATACATATTTTAATTATATACAAAATTGCTTTTAGACAATTATCCATTTTTAAATGTGTTATTGTTAAATCGGTATTCGGTCAATTGTCACCCAAAGAATAAGAAATTAGCCATTCATTAGTAAGACTTTTAAAAATTAAATTTAATGTAAATATATTAAAAATTTATTTTTAATAAGCAATCGACATTAATATTATGCTATTACAAAATATACTGAAAAGTAAATAAATATGTATATTATATAAAATATTACTATTTAAAAAAAAAACCATATAGGTTATCTGACCATTATCCCTTTTATTATTCATATTATTTTTCCTCCATTCTACTCAAAACAAGCTTTGTTACAACCTCTTATGGATTATGATTTTGCTCAATTGATTTTTTTAATTGTTGACTATCATCAGTTGTTAATAAAAACCTTTTGCATCCACTTTTTAATGTTCAAAATATCCATCTTTTACTATTTTCACTGGTTTTGAAATACATTTTTTTATTTCCTTTATGACTTAAAAGTCATACATTTTGGCACATAATGAAAATAATCAACACGACAAACATAAATTAAATCATATATAATTATTTAGAGAGAAGTTATAATAAGTTCGTGTTATAAAATCTGAAGCACCTTGCTAAGTTCGCAATCACGAACTTCACGTGTGGCCATTGTATTTAATTAATAATTAACTATTTTAATATTTTATCAACTTACACGATGTATTGGTAGGAGAAGTCATTGAAAACATTGAAGGAGCAGTGGTTTTGGGTGTTCCGAAATTGAAACTCATGTTGGACATAGATAAATATTTTTTAGTTATAAGTTTTTTGTTCTTCTAACATTCATCAAACGCCAGTAAATGTAAAAATACTAAATGGACAAGTAATAAATGGTATATTATACTAACGAGTAACAACTAACCAAGCCGCAACTTCACAAGCCCGCGAATAGAGATAGCAGCAGTAGTTGTTATAGTACTGTCTGATAGTATGTATATCATGGTTGTAAACAGTGGTCGAGCTTGGTTGTGGTTGATGGTAGTATGGTATCAAAGTCGTTATGAAAACTCGGATTATGTTTACCACGGTCTTAGAAGATATCTATTGTGCTATTGGATACCATTTATAACCATTTCTGTGGTTTTAACAATGTACCATAGCTACTGATAATTATTGTTAATAATAACAAATAACAATTTATAAATTAATAATTATAATACTTTAATTAACTTTTAAGTATGTCGTAATGTCGTATGTCGTATTTTACTATTTTAATAATTTTTCACGCGTCTGTGAGCAGTGAACTCATTGCACATAATATAGTAAATACTAAATAATATTAGTTATTTTATATTAATTGTATTTATGTATTTAATGTGTATGTCTACGATAATAGCACATAAGTCTAAAAATATAGAATACATGACATTTCATCTAGGTACCTATTCTATGTTTATAGTTTAAAGTGTTTGCAGTAAAAAAACTTGAAAATCACGAAACTAAAATCCCCAATTGTGAAGTTAAATTCTTTCTATAATAGGAATTGGGGGATAACCATTTTTTCAATTCCTATAGGTATTTCAGATAATATTTTCATTACTATTTATTTTATATAATAGTATTTTGCATAGACTATGGCTGCAGGGTATATTATAAAGATCATATCAAGTGTTATTTAATTTATAATATTGAAATTTATTATCATATACATTTTTGAATTTTTCAAAATCTTTATTATTTGTGCACCATAGCAGATAACAGCCATAGTGCCGTGTTTACCATAGACTATTGTAGTGTATTATAAATAAATCATAATAGACAGATATTACTTTCTTAGTAGCTACCCATATAATCTAAAAAAATTTGAGAAAAACTTACTATATATACCTTGACAGAAACTAATAAATAAGTTTAATGTTGAATAGGTAATGGATAGTACTATAAGCTTAAATTATTATTTTTAAATAATTTTCATTTTTTTTTTTTCATGAATTTCATATTAATCTGAAGCTTTAAATATAATTATGATTAATTAATCACATTAAACATGGAAAGTAATGATTTAAATAAAAGAAGCAAATTAATTAAAAATACAATATCTTGGTAATTTATTAACATGGTATATTAATTAAAACATTCAAGTGATGTAATCAATATTTTTTAAACATTTGTTAAATAGGTTTTAACTCTTATAATTTGGGTTTAATATCAAAAGCTTCAAATGCGCCTTCTGAAGGGTCAATTAAACATGGAAAAGTATTTACCGATGGAGGTGGGCTCAACCTGAAGATTGGATCATAACGTGGAGGAACTAAAATAAATTAAAAAAATGCATATAAATAAATGATATAATTTGTTAATAAAATATTACTTGATATCATACCTCTAGCATAAGATTTAGTTCCACTATCTTCTAGTGTATCACAATCTACAAAATAAAAAATATACAACAAAAAATATTTGAAATGTTTAAAACATTAAATAAAAATATTTATTTTCCCCATTATTTTTTTTCAAATTTATATACGCCTATGTACAATAAGTAGTTCTGAAGCCATGAATTAACATTAGCAGAATTAAAGATGAAAATCTTTCCGGCATAATTCTAGTATAAATATTAATAAATTTTTTATAATTTAATATTATTTTTGAGTTAATGATAACAAAAGAATCATATTTTGTAATTTAAATAATGAAAATGCATTTATAATAATATTATGTATGTTTTTTGGGTTTTATTAACTTTCTTGTGTTTAAATAAAATGTATAGCTTAAAATTAAAATTATATATATTCATTATTAAATGTTATATTATTTATATTTAAATAAATACTGTATTGTAATGATGGGTTAATCATAATATTTTTATCAGTTGTATAATTATAGAAACTGTTTATATATTACATTTTATTAATCAAGTAGATGATTATACATAATAGATATTTAGAAAAACTACAGAAATGTAATACATTTTATTAAATAATTACAAGAGAAAGTTTTTTTATTTTAAAATAATATTTATCAAAAAATTAAAGAATAAAACAGTAAATACTTATGATAAGAACTTAATTTTTATGCATAAATAAGTTACAAGAATTAAATAAAATAAAATATTCACACAAAAAAAAAAAAGTGTAAAATATGCATAAAGAAACTATAATATGCAAATACGTAATCATAAGATAATATGGGGATTACTTACTTATATTTTTTTCCACTTGTTTACCTTCTTTATTCAGTATAATAATTTCTTCCATATCATCAGATTCTTCATTATCTAAAAATAATATTAAAATTTTTAAATTTAATACATATTAAACCTCAGATTTAATTAAGTATAATTAAATCAGCTTATTTTAAACACTACTTAGCAGAGCTAAAACTTATAATGAAATATATTTATTTTTTTAATGTAAAATTATCTATTGATTTTAATTGTATTGAGGAATCAGCAACTGAATAGATTGACCAAAATATTTTGATAATAGTATACGTTTCCTGATGCAAAATAAGTTTTTTATTAATAATAGAAAAAAAAAGTGGTTTTGCTATAGTTTGAAGCAAAGGTGGTTTAAATATATACATTTTAGTATAGTACACAATGGGTATGTTAGTGGGCAGATGATTTGTTAAACATTTGTTAACTACAGTATAAAATCTTAATTTTTAATAAAGTAATCAATGATGATGGTAGTTAAAATTTAATCAATATTAAATTAACAACTATTTTAATGATAAATTACACCAAAGAGTGGGTATTTAAACTCTATTTAAGTTAGGAAACACAGTCAATAGCTGAATAGTGTGCTGACAGGCATATAAATAATTGATTTGGTAGGGATGACAAACATGTGTTAACTGACCATCATTGTCAAAAACTGATTACTGTTGATCATGTTTCTTAACTTGAACAGAGCATAATATGTGTCAATAGCTTGCACAACTTAATTTAATACTTTCAAAGTGCTTTTTGTGATTTTAAGAAAGAAAATAAAAATTCTCTTAAAGATAAATTAAAAATATTTTTCAACAATAATACTTACTGTGTATAATACTAGTTTTTACATCATCAGAATAATTAGTGCGAGGTATTTTTCTTAATTTACTATAAGTTTCTGGAAAACATCTCTTATTCTAAACATAAAATTATTAATATAATTGAATTTGTGTAAGTATAATTTTTTTATTTATCTTCTATGTAACTAATAACTATAATAAAAGTACCTCAAGTTTACCAAATGCTTTGAATGAAATAAGATTTATATTAACTGGCACAGTTTTAGAATTAAAATGTATCCTAAAGGGCATACTGTTATCATATGGTTTAATACTATAGTTTCGATTAAATTTGGTTCTTGGTATGGAAATGCTAGCTCCTCTAAGTGCTTCCATAGGTTGCACAGTAAACACTGATCGTTTTTCTTGTTTGTTGGAGATTTCACTACTCAATAAATACATGTAACGAGCGAAAGATTTTTCTTCTTTAAGTACTTTAAAATCACGACTAAGAATCTGAAATAAAAATCATTATGCATATTATATATTAGTATAATTTTATATTTATAAGTAGCATTTATTCAAATAGATATTTTTTTTATATTAATTTAGTATTATTTAGTTGTAGTTACATTATTTACATGATGTATATAATAATATTATAATAAGTATTAAGTATCTAATTGAATGTGCATTCAATAAAATAAAAGGAGGGATTAACATAGAATACAGAAATCAAGTGTGTAATTAAATACATTCAATTTACTCTTTTAGAACTAATGAAACCTTAAGTTTTGATTTTAAATGATTATCATGACTTATAAATTTAATTATAATTATGCCCTGTTAAGAATAGTCTGTTAACTTTAATGATCTGAATAAATATACATAATAATCTTATCTTGTATGAATTGAATCACTCAAAAATATGACAAATAAAAAGGTTTAAGGTGTAATCATTCTAAGATTAAACTTTTAAGTTGTAAACTTATATTAATATAAAATATGATTAATGGTACTATAATTTTTTAATAGTCATTAAATGGGAAATCGATAAATTCTTAATGTTTACAACCTAGCTTACTCTTTTCACAAGTTTTTATAAGATAGTTCTTATCTGGACTACTTCTAATCCTTATCTACCTATTTATTAAGGTGCAACAATTTGAAAATTGTTAGCTGTTAAATTTATGTATACAATTTTAAAAATTATCCAAAATTGAAATAAAAAAACTTAATAATAAGTTAGCAGAAACGTTATACATTTTTCATTGAATACTCGATAAAAAATATTAAATACTAGGTTTATTATTTTCTATAGAAATATTTAAAAAAAAATTATTGTTAGGTAGAAATTAATGTTGACAAATATGAGATAAAATTTATGAATACTATAAGTTTTTATTTAGGTACCTAAATAATTATGATATTGTATCAACTCATACTTTAAAAAGTTAAATAAAATATACAAGAATATCATATTAAATCAAATAATTGAACTGTAATAAAAATTTTATAATAAAATATGATACAAATAATTCACCTCTAATTGCTTATCTAAAATATCTTCTTGCCACTTTAAAGTTTGTATTTCTTCTTGAAGTTTTGTTCTCATTCCAGCAGTCTTATCATCTTCAGTTGTTTCAACTCCCCTATAAATAAATATTTATTTTAAAATGTTTAAATAATAGTTAAATTTTAACCAAATTCTGAATAATATAGAGTATTTACCTCCATCTAACTTGATTTTTGGTTTTTTTTTCTATTAAACCAATACCTTCTAATACATTTGTAATATCATAAATTCTTCTTTTTTGTTTAACAGCAAGCATTGCAGTAGCCTAAAAGATGCACATAATTAATTGTAACATTTAAAATTGGTAATTTATTATTAAATTGTGCATATTTTTCAAGAAAAATTAGATTTGAAAAAAATGTATTTCTTAATTTAATCATTCTTTGTTTTATATTTTAGAGTAAATAGGGCAAATAACAATAAATTAATTACTTTGTTTAAATGCATAACTCCATCCGGAGAGTTTCGAAGAAGATCAGCAAACTTAGTGGCCAAGTTGCCCAACGATTTTTCTTGCCTACCTTTACCTAAAAGCATATCTTCAACGGACATTAATTTTGACAATGACGGACTTTCATCATCACTGCTCTCCACAAGATCCATAATGTTTTGATCGTCCATATTCACTTGAATTCAAAACGAATAAATACTTGAAATAACATTTATATATACTATAATTACTGAACAGTCACTATATAGGCCATGTTTAAATTTTAATAATATCGAATGCAACAACGACATAGGAAATTATAGATATAAGAAATCATATTATTTATATTATTGACGATTGTTATTGTCGATATTTAACACTTTATTGTCGAAGTGATATGCTCCGTGACAAAGCAGCACTAAATATTTAGTCTACACTTCTATAGATAAGAAATAAACGCTTTTATCATTATTGTTGTATTAAGTTTTACTGATAAAATGCAGTGGGGGTGATTTATTAGAAAATACATTACCTACTAATTCCAAATAATCCCAAAAATATCAAAACAAAGAAAATATGTTTCTTAAATTTTATTATTTTAATAACTATTTATTACTTTAATGTGTGACAATTACTTAGACTTTTTAATTTTTTTATTTTCTCTAAACTTTATCATCTACGTTAATAATTGTACATACAGACTACAGTTATCGAGAAAATAATTATTTTAGATTTGAAGTAGGTAGGTAGTAGGTACCTTAAAATGGCGATTCAACCAAATATGTTCACCCCATTTATTCCTTTAATAATCAATTTTTTCAAAATCTGATTTTTAGAATTTGTATGTATATTTTGAGAGTGTATTTTCAAATATTTGGATTTTTATCCTATTTAACAGTTTCTTTAGTAACTAACTCGTATTTTTTAAATTATTTTTAGTACTTACCTACGTATTCATGTATAGAAAATAAAAAGTATGTATATCAATAATTTTTACCTAGTACCCGACGTGGTGACGTATTTCTTCAAAATTTTTAATACATAATTTCTTTTTAAATCGTCCTTATGGATTTCTCTTGTCTGTCGGAACCTACTGCATTTCGTCCGCGGACTGCTGTAGTGGTAGAATAAAGAACAAGTTTTTTACATCTCTAATGTGTATTGTGTTAGTAAAATTCTGTCGATAATTCTTGAGCTGGTTCCAACCTGTCGCTCTTAAGCGTAGTTGTTGGTTTCTAGAACCGTTTTCATCCTATTGCTTTGGAATACGAATGTGAGCCTGGTTAGACGACTATCCACCCTACTTATACGACGCAGATAGTTCTGAAAGTAAGAGACATACATGTCTATGAGTCTTTTGTTGTGGACATCAAATTTGATGCAATCGAATGATGGTCTCTTTTTGCTCATTTTCATGGGCGCCCATAGATAAAATTTTAGAGAGGGGAAAAATAAAATAATTCTAAATTGTAAAATAATAAAGATTTAATGTTATTTTCACATATAAATGTAAATATGCTGTTATGCTAAGTATAATTATTAATAAAATAATAATTGATATTTGTATTGTTATATATTTCAATATATGTATAGTTAGTTAAAATAGATTTTAATAAGTACCTATATAAAAATTATTTTTATTTTATGTACTTACCTACCTGGCTATCTATGATGTTAATATACGATAAAAATCTGTACTAAAACATATAGTGTATTTTTAAAGTTATTTCATACCTATCTTAACAGTGATTTAAAAAAACAATTTGTCATCGTAATTAGATAATATCAAGGTAATGTTTATTGAATTACAAGTTCATATAATTTTTTTTCCAGGAGGGAAAAATCCCTTGTCTTGCACCCTCCAAATAGGCATCTATGTTAATTGAGCTTAATTATAGAGTGAGAAGGTAAATGAGTATTGGAAATCTTATTTAAATCTATTCTTGATTCCTTCTCTTTAAGCCAAGTAGATAAGCAAATAGCATACATGTTGGTAAGACTTAAACAATAATTATTCAAGTAAAATAAATTATAAGATTTTTTTTTCTATTGAGGTAATATTAACACTGGTTATGAGGAATCTGTATTAGTTATATATTTTAAGCTTTTAACAAAGTATTAAAATTTGATATTATTAAAGTAGGTATATAAAAAATATTTAAATGAGGTGATAAAAGGGTTATAGATCTATCCTAAAAATTGTATTTGGCTAGTCTCGTTACATGACAACTGCAATAAGTATTCAATTATAGAGTATGGTATTTGGAACTGTTAGGTACTAGAAAATAAACAGTCAAAGATTTTCATTTTTTTCGTATAATTTTACATATCGTGTTGAAAAAGCTCGATTTTTAGCGTAAGCGATGTAAACTTTCAGCATTACATGGCAGTGTTTTTATATAGATTCTGTGATCCTGTGAAAGCCACCGGTGGGTTACGAATATTTTTCGTCACGTTATAACGATGGTTCGTTTTTAGGCAATAAACTAAGACAAAGACAAATATCAACCCTGTGGAAATGGCGATGATCCCGCTGAGCCAGCTGGGAAGTTTGTAAGGATACACAGGAGCACGAGGCGATGCTTTTCTAATTACTGTGTACAGCAACGAATTGCCGAATGTGACGGAGATCTCTTGTGACGCAGCAATAGCCATGGTAAGCTGGCATATTAAACTGTGTCGCGTGGCAGAGACGATCTCGCAACGAGCAGACGGTGAATCCACGGATCGTATCACGATGTCTTCGGGTTGGACGTACTGCAAATGGAGGCCATGAACAACTACTGAGCTGTTTCCGTCTATTTCGAAGTCCACCAGATACGGATCTGGGTGCACGTGGTATTTGAGCAGTGGATTACGAACATCGACGAGTAGCGAATCATTCATGGATGAGTCGTTCTTTTTAAATGTGATATCCAGCCCAAAGTTCAATAGCTGTCCCACAACCGACGCGTTCCCAATCCCGTTCACACTAGGTGATCGACAAACCATGTACGTATCGTTAGTCGGAGTATCGCAATAACTTTTTGCGTATTGTCTGACACCGTTGGACAGGTCGACGTACAGTAGAGCGGAGGATACAACGCAAGGTTCAACGAAATGATCGCCACGGATCCACACGGAGGTACCACCAGACTCTACGCCTCCAAGTTGTTGATCACCGTCCAGTATGGGACTGGGCGTGCCACAGGTAGAGCTAACGTAAAACTGGAATATCTGTGACGACTCGATTTTCAACACGCCTCCGGTCAACGACGAGTACTCGACCACGATCGGGCCGTATGATGTTTCGTTCGATTGTGACGTGGTGCAAGTTATAGTCTCGGGTCCAGATGTCCTGGGGTTCGAGCAAACCGTTCCTGCCACTGTCACAGTTATATTTCGATTTTCTGCGAATATCCTGTGGTTTCTAATAATGATTGTTACGATCGTGCCGCCAGTTTTTGGCGCAGTCAGCGGATCGACCGCCGTCACATTTATTTCGGCACAATCATTCTTCACATACGCAGTTTTCGTGTTAAATTCGTAGTTCTTCAAGTATTGTTCTTTCTGAATCTTGCAGGTGTTGTTAAACGAACACCATCTCAAGTAGTTTGAATATCCATCATTATTCCATGCACAAGTTGCACAGGATATTTTGTGCTTCTCGTCGGTGGAACATACTTCCTGTTTATAAAATGTAATATAGTGATCGGCGACGTTGTCAAACCGTAGCATGACGTCATTGAACTTAATAAAAGTAAAATAAGTGTACGACGATGAATGGACATCCGTGAAATATGTTCTGTTTAAGTGAAATGGACATGATGATATTATTATTTCGTTGTTTGACTTGATTATATTAATTTTTTTACATTTTTTTTGTCCAACATAAAATGTACAATTATTATTGAGATAATTTGAAAAACCTATCGAATCATTAGATAACTTAACAATTAAGTTAAACACAATTTGCAAATTATTATATTTAAATTCTTTAGTTACTGAAAACTTTGGACATTCATCTATTCGAGAAGCTTTTAAACTTGAAGAGTTGAATTGATTCTCGTTTTCACAAGTTTGTTGCTCTAAAGACCATACACACATAGGTTTAATTGCACATTTGGAGCACGTCATTGAATCTGAACAATCGATTTTATTTAGCTTAGTTTCAAGTGTACTGCTACTCAAAGGAAATATCAAAATCTAAAAAAAGCAAAAATATTTATTATTTTGGATTTACATTTTAAGTACATAATTTAATTATTTTACTGTGATATTTCGGTTATAATTTTAAAGAGATCAATAGAAATATTAAACTTCATACTATTAAATACATATGCAAGTACATAACCCATAGTTATTTTATTTATACAATTTTTAAATCGCTATAATTATTTATTTCATTACTTATGCCTTATATATCTACCTAAGTAAATTTAATTTTAAAATAATGCTATTGTATATTTTTAATATTTCTATTAGAATTTTTTTATTGAATATTTATTAATATAAACAGGAAATGTATAGATAGCATTAATAGAATTTTATTTTAAATACTGAGCGTAGCGATTAATGTATTGAATTTACAATGTGGGTTTTTTTTTGTGTATTTTGTGTATATCTACCATGGTGAGTAGTCAATTAAATGTTTCGGTATTCATTTTTAGATAGAACATTGGAACTAGTTTGTACTTTGAGATAGTTAAAATTAAAATTGCCAAGTACTTTTAAATACAATCGAAAAAAAAAAAATAGGAAAAACGGGAATTTTATTGAAAATCCAATTTTTGATGAAATCTTGTTTTTTTAGTGTACCTTAAAAACGCTTAAAAATGAATTACCATAATTATTCCATATTTTTACCTAATGTTTGTATGATTATTTTATATTTATAATAAAATTTTCAAAATATTTCGATTCTTTTTGTGCTATTTATAGAATTTAAAAATCCCTAAATTTTTTTTTAAGAGTTGTTAAAAAAATTACCAAAGTTGATATGCTTTAATATTTAATACAATTTTCTTTATAAATTGTTCGTATGTTACTTCAAAAATAAAAAAAAAATACACAATTACAATATTTTTTATAAGTGTTTTAATTTAGAATTTCAATAAAATTTGTTAAATATCGAAGATTTTAAAATTATTTTATAGTTAGAAATTCACACACTTTTTTTTTGTTTATTTAAGATTTGAAAAATGATTATAAGATATTTTATAAGTTTTTCGATTAAAAAAAATTTCTACCGAGCTTCATTTTTATGAGTGTTTTTATTTGAAATGTCTAAAATATTGCATATTCACCCGTAAAATGACTACATAAATAGGAATCATATTTTCCAATTATTTTTGATATTTTACTGTAAATTAAAATCTGCATTTAGTATTTGTTTACTTACCATAATATATATAAGTAGATTATTCATATAATGTTGATTTAAATAGTTTTTATTTTCGTTTAACTTTTTGCGATCAGCCATTACGTGTTTAAAATTTTTAAGTTATTGTTCATCGATAAGTAATCATTTTAAAATAGAATCATTCTTGATTTCTTCTTCGAACTATAAAAAATAAATATTTTAATATAAATACAGTAATAAATAAAATTAGTAATAAATGATTGCGTACGTTCATCTCTTTTAGTAACACGAATGCATAAGTTTGTTCAATTACATACAATTTTTTTACCCGACCCTTAAAAACTTTACGGTTGTGTACAAAAATGAGCGCAACGTTACTAAAATATGTTATTTAAAGTATTCAGTATAAATAACTATAGTAATATATTTTTCTAACAAATATGGTAAATTTATAGTTAAGATATTAAGTAAAAAATGTGTGTTTCTATTAATTGTATTCGTATCAAGTTTAAGCTATAAAAAAAAAAAAAAAAATTAATAATAATTAAACGGCGTCAATAAAATACAAGTTACATTATATGAATAACGTATCGATATTGCCTTAATGAAAAAGACTCATTTTACCAAATAGTCAAATATTTTTATCCTAAGCTATACCTACTTTAAATTCAAATTTAATCATCCAGATAACATGTATTTTCATCATAATTAAATCTGTTTTGTCCTTTTCTTCATTACCAAACTTTTCTCAGGACTATATATCTTTAATCTTGTGTCGTATTTATTAAGTTAAATAATATACCTATCATCATTGTTGCAATTTATTACTGCTCTCCGAGACACAACATCTCTTTTCTTAAATTTATCGACTATTTGTCATCAATTAATTCGAATGTCATAATCGGTGAAGACATTAATGTGAAACACCAAGCCCGGGGCTGCTGTTCTGGTAATCTACGTGGTAATGTTATCTACAGTGACACAGTGTTGTCAATACCAAAAAATAACCCCAGGCATCGTTTGAAGAGGAACTATTACCGTATCTTGTCAAGGAACTAACTAAGGAAAAAAATATACCTATATATTGTATAATTTACGAATATAGATAGATAACTAAACAACTGTCAAGTGTTATTATTTAGTGGCTTCTTATATAAAATATGCATTCAATTTTTTTTATATCATCACATAAACTTATTGTGTTAAATAGTACATACTATATACCTATATATATTAATAAAAAATAATTAAAATTATTGAATTATTGAAATAAAACTAATAGTATAGTCAATTGAAATATATATCTATATTCATACATACAAAATACAATAAATATACAAATTATAAATTATAATCTATTGTTATTGATATCCAGTCCCCAAAAAGTTTGGCATTGTGAATAATAGTTACAGTAACGCTTATGAAACTTTATCAAAGAAAAGTAATATTTTATAAATGTTCACGATTGTGAACAACGGCTCTATGTTGTACTAAGTTTGGGTAAGTAGAGGTACGCAATCATAATTGTGAAAAACAGTTATACGCAATCGTAACACACCCAGTAAAACAATATAAAACAATTCATAAATAGATTATAGAGTTCTGAACACAATATAATGCTAAAGCATTTTTGTGGAGATTATGTGTTTCCATTTCCATAATATTTCAAATTGAATGCCTAATAAGTTGTTGTATTTAATAACTATATCTTAAACAATTTGAAATATTATATTTTTTTTTAAATATTCGAGTGAAATATATTTTTTCCATTTAATTTTAACTAAAACAATTTTTTCAATTTTAAATGGCATGAAACATTTTTTTAAATACAAATATCTTGCATTAAATTCAACGAAAAACAAGATTTTATTACTTATTATAACAAATAATTAATCTAATAATTCACATAATTACCAATATTATGTCAGAGGACTGTTGAATCCTCGCAAATTCAGGAAAGATGATTTATACAAGTTGTCGAATTACTTAAAAAAAATTAAAAAAAATAATGTTTACAATTTTAGAACTGCGGAGATGAAATCGTATATTGTGGTAAAAAATATTATTTTTATTATTACATCAAGGCACGTTATGATATATGGTCAACGGTTGCCATAATAGTGTTCATTAAATTAAAATGTAATAGTTATAATAAACTGTAATCATTTTATTATTAAAGCTAAAATAATTATCAAATGCCTTTCTTTCTAAAATAGGCCATTGATAATAAATTTATATTTTATACCCACGTAAATATTAATAATCAGTTACAAATTAGCATAAATACATTTTAAAATTTATATTATATGACATATTACATTCAGCCAAGTAAAATACTCTATTCCTATTGTTTTATTATTATTTATAGTTATGATATTATCTTTTTTTACATTTTCCTGGCTAAAAAAAAGAAAAATTAGAAGTTAAATATTTAATTATTTCCTTTTTGTTAAATATTTCTGTAAAACTTTCTGTAATATATAAATCTAATAAATAATAATTTCCTTTTTCCATTTTTTTTTTTCATATTTCTGGTAGTCTTTGTAATAGTGTTTTTATTTTTATATTTTTTAATGCAACTTTAAAAAGTAAAATAATTGGATTTTCATTGTCTTTTTATATTTTTAAATTAATATTAAGAACCTGTTTAACACTTAAAGTTGTTGTAGAATTAAAATTCAGTAAATGAGGATTTTTAGCTTTTACATTTACACCATGCCCTACTAATTTAAAATTAGAAAAATTTGTTCTAAAAATACTTTAATAACCACAATAAGTTGATTTTTAAACTAAACATTTTTTATTAACTGGTTTCCCTTAACAATTATTAAAATCTAGTATTTTTGTAACTATAATATTATCGCAAGTTGTTTTCTTATGTTTTTTTTAAATCTTATAAACTTTGTTCTCTATTTGTATAGATTATTTTCCCATAATTAATAGCTAAATTATTTTTACTCACATTCTTTATTGAAACGCAAGCAATAATCTCTCCATGGTTAGTTTAATCTTATTTCCAACTATTCCTGCAATAGAATGCGTCTAAGTAGTTATAATATTATTTATTTGAAAAATTTGTTTTAACAAATTTAATTTTATATTATAAAGTATTTATAACATCTATTAATGTAATGTTTTGTAGAAATAAGTTAATTAATGTTATTATTTATCATAACATATTTAAAAAAAAAAAAAAGAAAAGAAAAGTTTTTAAAAATCCAGTCTTTGGAAATTTTAAAATCTTAAGATCGATTTATGCAACACACTACTTTTTGTCAATTTCCGAAATCCATGGTATTGATTTTACAGCTCAAACACTTTACAATAACTCCCAAAATCCGTAGAATTGGTTTGAGTACTCAACAAACATAAGATTGGAATCTTTATTTTATATTTTAAAAATTGTACAACTTCTAAAACCTAAGGAAAAATAATTGTATACGAAAAATATTGTAAAGAGTAGTTGATATTGGGTATAGTTATAAATACAGTTTAGTTTTTTCTTACGTGTATGATTTTTTGTGATTATTTTAGTTTATGATATTTTTGCACATTGTTTTCTTAATTTTATATTTGTGATGATGTGTGAAGCACTGAAGCATAAAGATTCCGCGCTTTAAAATAGGTGCCGAGTTAGAATCGATATTATATATTTACTTGTATTGTTTTATATTATATCTGAAATCCATAAAATAACTTGGGCAGATATTTTTTTTTTACGTTTCATGATAGTTCTAAATCGGTTAGAGCCAATCATGTCAGTGTTTGTACCGATATTTTAGACTTACTTAATAGTGTTTTACTTTATTGCTAAAATTTACATAACACATTTAAGGTTTAAAATAGCATAAAATGACAAAAGGTATTAACTATTAAGTAATATAAGAGTAGAATATAGAGTAAATAATTATAATTCTTATTGTTCATAATCCGTTTAATTTTATTTCATTGTTCCGACTAATGATTTTATTTTAGAACTTCTTATCTATAAATCAATATTCAAATTAAAAATTTAATTTTGGTTAATGTAAATTTCTCATTTTCGCTACCGACTTCTTTTTAATCAAAAATCCATTTTCCTCTACTCTCAAGTTTAAAATGTTTATTGAAAATTTGATAATTACGAATAACGACAACACAAATGATAAATGTAGTCAGTTTAGCTACTGTAAAACAAAAATATTTCATTAAAACTTTTTATCGTTAAGATAAAAATATTTATCTAGGTATTTGAAGTATTCAGAATTTTGTAACACTATGCGGTGGTATTGTTTGTAATTAGTAAATATAATATAACAAATAAAACCTTTAATTAATTACAATAATTATTTCGATCCAGTATTGGTTATTGCTTATTTGTGTTCGGTTATTATTAATGCAATTAAAAATATTTTTTTGAATGTTTTGTTTTTATTATATAATATGCACGTATAATAATTAAATAAATCAATACTTTATGATATATCATAATATAATATAGTATAATATATATATATATATATATATATTTGAAATTAAATTATTTAAAAAAAAAACACTGCTTATTTGTTTTAAGAACACTTAAAATTTCACCTGAGATGCATGGCACATTTAGAAATTATTAAATTATAATAATAATATACAATAATAATATTAATAATAATCATATTTAACGGTGGTGGTCATCAGTGATGTTTGGTGGAGGCTACCGTCAATATAGACGAGTGGAGCTCGAGTGCGGCTAGCACGTCTTGTTTGTGCCGAATGTACATGCGGCCGTCTCGCCACGGGTGAGTCAACTGTAGCGGTTTGAAGTCATCTCGCAGACACCGTTCTCGGGCCCCGGTCACGGATACTAGACAGAAGTTACCGAACTCGGTGCTTGGGTATATGGGCCCGGTCTTGCCTTTGACCACCACGGACATGTTCAGCTGCTGCAGGAACAGCTGGACCACTTCGCGGGCCGACGTCGTCGGACTGATGTGCAACTTCAGACTGGTGGGATGTGGCAAACCCGTGTCGTACGCGGCGCATACCTGTGTGACAACAACCGTGGTTATCGGAAGACCAGAAGTTACGCGTGTATCGATACCGCGGCGGTATTGCGGCAGTTACGAAAACTACTTACCTCAATGATCCCAGGAGCGGGAACGGGTACTAGCGATTCGCTCTTCATCGTTGCGTCGGAAAACCCTTCGTCGTCTACTTTATTCACGTCCTTAGCCCTACGCAATAACAAGTTATAATTCCCGTATCAACGTGATAACGAAATATCCTTAATCTCGAGTCGACTATAACGACTATAGTACTACACGCATAGTTGTTATAATATTATATATTGCATTATCGACAAACTTACGTTAAATGATTGGTCTTGGACGATAGGTCGGTTAGATCCGACGACTGTCCCTCATTGAACTCCGGTTCGTCTTTGCTGTCTGAAACACAAATCATAGATAAAATCATGCGAAAAGCAATCGCTTACAACACTATTGGCGTACCATTGCTAGTCTCTGACGAACAACTCTTTTTTTTAGCCAACCCGTACTCGCGGTCGTGGGCGGGCGGCGATAAGTATTGTTCGCTGCGACTTATCTCCGGGCACACGGATTCCAGCGTCCGCATCGAGTTCAATCCCGGCCCCGGCCAACTGCCACGGGACTTGACCAATTTCGAGTCGGGCAATTGTAACAACTGTGAAACGTATAACGCGTAAGGTTATAATAATAATAATAATAATAATAACCATCGGTGTATACCGAACGGTCGTAGAGTCATAGAGAAGTATGATATTTGGTCGGGGAGCGGGGAGGGTCGTTTACCGAGTTGCTTTTGGCGGACTTCATTTCCAATTGACTGTTGCTGGCGCTCTTCGAACAGTTGGAGTTGGACACTTGCGTCTGGAACAGTCGTTCGCGCGCAAAGTTCATCACGTCTAACAGCCACCGCAGATGTTTCCATGCGGCGTTCAAGCTCGTCTCGAGCGACTCCACGGTGTCCAGCCGTTGCTTGGCCGTTTCCAGGTCGGACGAACTCCACGCTTGTCTGATCGAGTACCTGGCGTCGTCCGAGTCTAGCTGCACGACACTGGAAAGCCGGGCGTACAGGAGCAACGTGTCCGCCCGGTACGTGCCGAAGTGTATCATCTCGAACACCTGCACACTAAGTGGAACCAGCTCGATTCGGTGAAGGTGGACGGCCGACTGGCTGCCCTCGCCGACCGCGCACGCCACCTCGGCTGGCGGCACGATCATTATGAGGCTCACGTCCCGGTCGACCTCGATCACTTCGCTGGTGTACACTCGCTGCACTGTCCGTTTGTCTTTCGGTATCTGGACCAGCGAAAACAGCCGGTTGGTGGCCATCTTGAATTGCGAAGCGAACCCGAGACACGTGTAATCGCACGGCGCACTGGCGCCCTGCTGAAGCCACAGCCATTCTTCCCTGTAACGAAACCGATTTGTTTACGATTTTCCGACCCATTGAAAATATTACTAGCCTAAAATACTATAATAGCGGGTAAAATCGTTTGCGGACAAAATGTTAATATATGTTTGTGCACAATCGTGGAGGAAACGAGCTTGAACGGAAATTTATGATACTGATGAACATAACGATGCGTTGTAAACCACATAAGCTGATAGGCCCTAATGGTTACAACAAACGCTACGTTTGTACGCAAAAGATCATATCAATAATGCTATATACTTTAAAATATGTGTAGGTAAAAAAAAATAGTTTTTAATTTTGATAAAACTTATTAACTTGATTTAATTTTTAAATGAACAAAAACTTAGTATTATAAATTTACCCGAGTATATTATATAATATTATATAAGTTATAAACTAAAAAAAAAAAAGAAAGAAATTATGGTTATAGTTTACAATTAATTTGGTATATTTGTATATAAAAAAATTCATCTACATTATGTTTATCTTAAGTCATTTTTACAAATTTAAATTTTTTACTGTATCATTAGCGCAAAGTATAACTGAGGTTAGGGGTAATACAAGTATATTCATTGCATTGTTGATTTTTATATTAATTTTGCGTTGAGTATATGAACAGTTCATTGATTTTGGAAATATTTTTCTTTATTTGCAAAAATGCCCCGAATTCTT